ATGTTGGCCAGACTCGATCCTCAAGTGGACGACATCGTTTCTAGCGCATCGAATGGTCCAAGTTCGTCACTCGGGAGGAGTAACCGCCCAACGACAGCTAAGCTGTGGAGTCCCCCAGGGCTCACCGATATCCCCACTCCTTTTTCTTCTTTACATGGCAGAGCCAATGCGAAGCGGAAAGCCAGGTATGAGGTTCAGCTACGCCGACGACTTCGGAATCATCGGATTTGGCCGTACCATAACGGAATCCGCCGCTGCGGCCCAGAGTGAAGTCGACGATCTCCTGGATTGGGCGGGAAAAAATGCGGTTGCTTTCGACACAAGTAATTCTGAAGTAATCCAATTTCCAGCACGGTGCCGCGAGCCTGCGAAAGGAATATATGTCAATGGAACCCTTATCGAGCCGGCCGAATATGTTCGCTGGTTGGGTGTCTACCTAGATCCCCGGCTGACCTTTAAGCACCACGTAACAACTTGGTGCGGTAAAGCCTTGAAAGTTGCACAGAGCCTGCGCCGTTTCAACACTGCTATCCGAGGAGCCGCTCCAGGAGCACTTATTCGAGCAGTCGACATGTGTGTGGTTCCTATTGCGACATTCGGTGCGGAAATCTGGTGACCTGGTCTCAGACGCCTGACGAGAAAAGGCATGACAACCCCACCAACAGCACATCTTAGTGGTATGATCGACAAGGCTGTCTTGATGGGACTTCGAGCTGCAATCCCGGTAATGAGGACGACAGCAAACGTTGTACTGCACAGAGAAGGAGGAATTCCACCAGGGAAAATCATACTGGAGGGTAATCGACTTCGACTGTCAGTTAGGCTCAAAACTCTGGATGATTGCCACCCGCTGAGGATTCGTGCGGCTGTGTGCCCAAATATCGGCACGCGGAAATACAAGAAGAGAAATCGAGGGACTTCGGTTCCTGAAGTAATAATGACACGAGTCCAGCGGGCGTACCGACAATTACCAAAAGCAGAGCACGCGGAACTACTGCCGCCTACATCCTACTTACCGAAAGCAGGATCTAAGGAAGAACAAATTGAGATCTGTAGGCAATGGATCAACCAGGTGCCGAAGTCGGAAATTTGTGCCTACTCGGATGGCTCATCGGAGGGGAATAGACGCTCTGCTTGGGGTTTTGTTCTAAAGAGAGACGGGCAGACTTTGCTTACGGGAAGTGGCACCAGGCATGAGGGTGAGGCTTTGGATGCGGAAATCACCGGGGCAAGGAAGGCTCTTGAAGCAGCATTGGGACTCCAGAGCGCGACGCAACGAGTCAACCTTCTACTGGATAGTCAGCAGGCAATCAACGCACTCGAGACAGGCAAGTCCACGAGAAGCCACGATGAAGTACGAAAATTTCGGGAGTTGTCCAAATCAGCTTGCGTGACAATTAAATGGGTTCCCGGGCACTCAAGAATCCAGGGTAACTGGGAAGCCGACTCGGCCGCCAGGTCTGGCCTACGAATGCTGCCGAGCCCGGAAATGCATCCAGAATCCATCACTCTGGCATTTCTTTATGGCCAAATGAATCGTCTGCGGCAGGCGTTACTCGACGATTGGTGGAACGAAGCTTGCCCGCCCCGATATCGCAAGCTCGACCTGCTCATGCGACGAAGGAAACCACCTGAGCTGGGACTTTCGAGGTTCCTACTCCGAAATCTGATTGCAGCTCGTACTGGACATGGCAATTTCGCGGCGCATCATCGCCGTTTCAACAATCTGGACGCTATAATGGAGTGCGCCTGTGGGGAGGAGACCACTCCTACCCATTTTATTCACTGTCGACTACACGCTCACGTCACGCGTCGACTCAGAGGGAGATCGTCACATAGTGGCTTTATCCAAAAACTTCTCGGGCCAAAGTGTCACGAATTTTTCAAAATCTTTGAGAAGGAAACCTGCTGTTTTGGGTTGCCATCTACAAATTCGTCCTCTGATCTCATCGGGGACAATATAAATTAGTCATACAGATGATATGACAGGAAGGAAGACAAGTCGAGGAGATTTGTTTCCGAACCAGAGATTGGTAAATCTACAGGGCTGGATAGTTTTGTGGTTAGGAGTTGGGTTTTTAAAGGTTGAATTTTTGTACCAGTGCGAATTTTATACTAGTTACTATTTGTGTAGTGGTTCAAGCGGTGGGATCAAGTTTGGCTTATCAGGGATATGATCTTGGCTGTGAACATCGGTCTTTGACCCTTAGGGGATAACGGGTATAGCCTAGGACCTAAATTAATAAAGAAACAAACAAACAAACATGCATTACACTAAACACCCCACGGTTTAGTTCCACAGTCACGTGCATATGCTATGACGCAGCCTAAAGCATGTACCATGGTAAGTTACATGGATAATACAACACATTTCAATAAACTGTTCACATTAGAATAATGTGCACATGCGCCATGGGATATAATTGAGCTAGATCATCACTCATTGGTATGACATAGTATTTCCCAATAGATTCCTAATGGTATCTATTAGCGCTAGGATCTCTCACATCCTTCCTTTCTCAGTTAGACAAGGACATATCTTAGAACATCCACTAGTGAGTAGAACCCCCTTATTCATGTATATAGAGGAAGGTCCTGTCACGTAAATAATACAAGCAATTCATAGAAAAGTAAATTCAAACAATCTCCATATTATTCACACACTTGAGAATACTAGGGAATATCCTTAAGTTTGTCCACTGATCCAAGTCCTAATAATATAACTCACGAGCTTTCTTTCTCTTAAAGCCATAGTTACCTCCTTCCATACCTTTATCCTAACGGTACGTCATTCCAGCTCAGCATAGCCTTTCAATAGATTCGAGGTCGAGGGGTTAGTTTTTGGCGAGACATTCTTGAACCAGGGTCTAAGCAGAAGGCCTGACAATAAAGCTCATAGAACTGGTTTCTCGGCTCACCCTCAACACTTTCACTTATTTGGTGGGACCAGATAATGCCCCAACTGTAATTGATAGGTTTAAGGTCACAGATTGAATTATGATGGGAAATTACAACAGTCTTAGTTGAATTTTTTTAGATAGTTATTTGTACTTAAGGAAGCTGGAGCTACGACAAAGCAGTTCTCCAGCTTCACGATCTTTTAAAATTATCCTAGTTGTCACGGTTTCATTACAAAATGCATGAGCAATGTTGTAGGTACAATATTTTTATTATGATTCTCTGAATAGAGAATTTCTGTACTTAATGACTACCTATATCTACTGACTGAGATACCCCTCCTTGTTAGAAATTGTCAAGGATTCCTAGGAGGAAATTTCTCGAAGAACAAGTGTACAATTTCGGACAAGAATTTACTGATAGTTATATGTGATATCGAACTCTCTTCTCAATATGAATTAATAATATATAATACTCCGTTGACTTATTTTTACATATACAGATGAGTCTGTCCTTAAATACAGATTCCGAACTCCCAGTGATCTAGCAACAACCAGCCACTCAATTATCGCAAGGTAGCATTTCCTAGCCACTGCATTCCAGATGCCACTGAATCTTATTTCGTCCAACTGAGCTTAATCATATTCAATCGAACCAACTCAATTGATCTTGATGATCATACCTAGAAATCTAAGCCTTCACACATGCTGAGTCTAGATTTGCAACACTCCTCGATAATTTTCTCTCTATGGCTTGTCAACTCAGACTCTGCGACAATCGCCTGTAGATCCTTGGTACTTCTTTAACCCTCATGAACTCTCCGTAGGTTTCAACAAGGCTCAATGTGAATCATCTAGGTTCCTTGTCATCCAAGATCTTCCCAGGAACCTCCCTTTGTATAATTGCCTGCGCTAGACAGCGTAGGCTACAGGAACCCTTAGGCTTGACAGCCGTCACACTAGTAATCTTCTCGCAATCCCGCATCCTTCTAGCCTTAGTACTTCGTCAGTTCTTCATCTCTCTAGTATTCACCACCTGACCTTTTGATTACCTCGGCCAACGTCTATCTTAGTCTAACCTACGGCATAACATAACAATTAGAGAGCAACCAACTGTTATAATAACGAGGTCATGAGGGGACAGAGGATTAACTGAAATGGATGCAGATGATTATGGATATGCAGATATAATTGATATGGCTGTCGTGAGAAGAAGCGTTGGAATGGACAGTAGTGAGATGTTTAATTTACAATCTATCTGCGGAAGTATTGCTTCCTTATATATACATTCAGTACCCCAGTCCTGATCACGCACTCACCACAGGTGCTTCCTACTTCTGTCACAGCAACCGCTTCCATAGCCCCTGCCAATACCTCCTGTCATAACATACTATTGACACTGGTTGCTAGTGTGGAACTCCCGGGATTGCAGAGCTATACACCGTCGTCACATTGTATGCCATTGCCCCTCGGTAGCCATCAGAGTGATGTGCACCTCAGTCTAAACGCATTGGTCCACCAGGCAACGCTCGGATGTAGGGATGTTGCCAGAGTGATTAGGTACTTAGCTGTGCTATCAGTGCCCTAATCTCATCTAGCTTACTGCGGCCGAGTGTTCGAGTGCCGTGATGGTGGGAGCCCAATGAGGCTCGATCGGAGCTGACCCGAGGTATTCACAACACCAACTTCCAAATTTTCTAATACCCTCTCAAAAAGTGTCAGGCAAATAAATGCCAATAAGGAGACCAATCCTTTTCCCCTACATCTCGATGATTAGTTGTACGGCCTATTCTCGGGACAATTATTCACCATAGAAGGCGAGTGGGACTTTGCAATTTCAGATCCCAGAAAGGTGGAATAAGAAGTAATTAACATGGGTTAAACTAACATTGCAAATGCCTCATAACTCCAATGGTTCACACATGGTTGATTGAACTTGCCAAGCCACACTTTGGGTAGAAAAGAGTGTATATTAATTGCATCCTAAAATCATCGACAAGCCTTTTAGATTCTGTACTTCATTTTTATCAATCTTCAAATTTCAGCTTTTCAGCTTTTCATAGCCCTTAGATTGGAAGAAATACAAGTACTGAATATTCTACAATGAAGTTTTCCATCATCAGCGGTGCCTCCACGCTCTACTGCATCTTAGCGCCAGTGCAAGCTTTTGTAATACCGCCAGTGCGAGCCCTATTACCAGCTATATTACCAGCTCCATTACCAGTGCCTGACCCGGACCGAGAATTCAGATTCCACTGCCCAAATGGTCCCATATACTCAAAAGCTCAAGTCACGGAAAAGGCTCTGACGGCCAGAGCAATTATGCAATTCAATAGAATAGATGATGACTTTCCTAATGTATTCACTAGTCTTAACTACAACATTCCCGGAGAACTATGGTATTATCCTATGGCAGGTAATAACAAAATCCATGATATTTAGTTGCTTTCCAAGTTCTATAATACTAACCGATAACTACAAATTTCTAGAGGGTCCAGGTCCACATGACTTCGTTATATTCAATACACAAACTCGAATAGTGGGCGCAGTTAGTCGCACTCATCATGGAAATGGCCCCGATATCATTGAACCTTGTCAATTCGCGTAAGTAATTGTCCCCCAACACATACTCTTGACATGTGAAGATATGACTAACATTATTTTTGTTAGATATTTGGCTTGATGAATCATGTCAGGTTCCGATGTGTATAGAATAACTTGGTATTTCAAATCATGTGTAAGACACTAAGCGTCCAATGAATTGTATTAAAGTCCGTACTGGATTTTTATCTAGAAGGCCTTTGGTTCAATTGAAAAATGTAAAAGTATAAGGATGAGATCTCTACTTCTTTCCGACCTTGATGCTATATATCCAACTCAAACTATTTCTAGGAGAGAATATCTTTGTCCCGATTTCCAAAATAACAGGTGTAGAAGATCAAAATATCTAAAGTTGGAGCTTTGATCATCCTGAGCACCTGTCACGGAACTAAGGGCTAGCGTCATAGGCTAGAACATATGTGTAGATATCTTTTGTGTTTAGATTTCTTTCCTCTTACTATCGAACAACACAGTTACATTCTCTTTCCTTTAGTACCTGACCCGTGAGCCACTGTGACATCTTGTGCGATCTCAATTGAGTCCCGTCGCATTTGGATCCTGCAATAATAGAAAAATTAACTACCTTATTCTGACTCCTGCCTGCAACCCGACACAAAACCTGAAGTAAATCCCAGCTACCACCCCATGAGTTCCTCAATAAATTAAAAAAATAATTGTAATTATTACCAACATGGTCTCCGACCCCAGAGCCACTGAAATTATCATTGCTTTTCTGAAGAGCTGGCCGAACTTGAGCGCAGCAATTGAAGGGCATCAGTTCCCAAATGGTTTGAATCCAGCTTCTCTGCTGAGCTCAATTGATTCAACCACTAACACATCTGAAACTATTTTAATTTGTAGTTTGCTTCAATGTTTTGACTCCAAAATTGGTGAAATCAAAAATACACATATTGTCCCAACCATTAACACCATGGTAATTTGGTGGGAATTAGCTATAGGCGTGTGATTGTAATGGGGTGTATGATATGATAATTGTAAACTAGGCAAGAGCGAGTAAGGGTTTGTGGAGGCCCGTGCACATTCAATATATTTCTTAGCAATAGCTGCCACACAGAAAACTTCGGATAGATAGATACAATACAATACATTCTACTGATTACCTTTCCCTTCGGATTCGAATCCAAGAACCTGGTAGTTTTACCAACACATATGATTGAAATTATCTTCTTGAATTCAACTGTATCTAATTTAAATTTAGCACGCTCTTTAGACAACAACAAGATGTCAAATTTAAGTGATAAAATTTCAAGCTTACAGTCTGAAATTAATAAACTACTGGTTGATGCCATTCTCAGCATGAAACACTCGAAAATTGATTCTACAGACACAACATTGCGCCGGACTAGATCCGATCCAGTAAAGTTTTCTGCTGCACAAACAAGTACTGAAAAACGACAAACTCTATATGAGAGTTGGAAAAAACAGGTCCAACAAGTGTTGATTGTGGATGGTAGTTGTTTTCCTGGAAATTTCAATTGTATGTTGTATATGACCAGCCAAATCTCAGGGAAAGCATGGGAGATAATTAAAGATGGTGTTCAGAAAATGAATTAATACCCAAGTGATTAAGAAAAGTGGCATTGGAGAACGCAAACAGACTTATGGCAAGTCCTTGATAGGAGATACATTCTACTTGATACTACCCAGATGGCAAAGAATGTCTTGGACACCTTTTACCAAGACAAACGTGCTTTTGTGTGACGGCTTGTGAGCCGATAAGTCCTGTAGCCTTCAATAGCCATCGAAGGCAACCTATATTCTCTATCACTCCGGGGATTATCAGCAGACGAAAACTGATACGAGATCGCCACTGAGGCTACGTAAAGGATAGTGCTAAAAGTATTGGAAGCGTTACCCGTGTGGTAGAACAAACCTTAAGTCAGTTTTATTGCTACTGTAAGTGTAGGCTAGATTTAGATACCTCTGGATGTGTATAAGTAGTAGAGTAGACTTGCAGGTAGTTTGCTTCTACATAGATGAGTTATAGCTTTACCTTTCAATCATATAGATGCCTATTCACTTTCTATATTCGAACTGTGACATATAATTCATCTATCTCCAGTTACGAAAGGTACGACAAATAGTGATACGACGAGAGATATTGCGCCAAGAGATACGAATACGAGAGATACGACGAGAGATAAAGCAAACAACTTTAACACTACGGAAAACTGCAGTCGTTTCAAGTTCCAAGAGCCAAAAGTTTGAAAGCACAATGGAAATCAGCAACAAAAATTAATGAACTTCGTCAAGAAAACAGATGTTTTAGGTTTGAATAACGAGGCTGATATGCCAGATTCTGCCCTCTTCTTCCATTGGGAGGCATTTTTCACGAAAAAGACGTTGCTCGCCCAGTGAAAGCGACGTTGGGACCTAATGGCAGGCCTCTACGAGCTATATGGAAGACAGTAGATCAAATTGACAAGCTTAAAATGGAATGCAGATGTTTTAGATGTGAGCGACAAGGCTGCAGTACCAATGATTGTCTTCTACTCCCAGCAATAAATCCTAAGTTCAAAAAGCCAGCAACTATTCTTTCCGAAAATAAAGCGAAATTAGAAGAAAAAAGGGAGAAGAGAAGTGACCACGCATCCATATCATCATTCACGTCATCGAGCTATGATCCGACGAATGCGGCCAAGAATAAAGACCAGGAACTTAGCATGAACACAAAACTATTTCTGGTTAATGTGCTGATCAACAACGTAAATATGGTACAAGCTTTGATAGACAATGGATGTCTGTGTTCAGGGATTATTGAGGACTCATTAGTAATAAAACTATGTTTGCCTCGAAAGTCAATTTCTCCACGACCTCTTCAGACTGTGGAGAACTCTTCGAAGGGGAAACCGATGGTAAAAGATATAACATACATTTCAATTGACCTTGACGGAAATGTTACAGAAAAACTTTGGCTATATGTAGTTCCTTCCAGTACACACCAGCTGATTCTTGGAAAAAAATGGTTGGAAGATCAAGATGCAGTAATACATTCTCAAGAGCAACGTTTAGAGCTCAGGAAATGCGGTGCATCGGTTTACAGCGTAAAACGTTGGCGCCAGGAGTTTTTAGGCGTAAAAGAACCTAGGGTTGCATCTATAGGGCTTATGTCTTCAACGGTCAAAACTATTCCTATCTGCAAGGCCCCAATAGAGTATATAAACAAAGCACTGCGGACAAAACCTTGTCTTACAACAGAGGAAACTAGAACACGCCTACCTATTATGATTGGTATATGAAATGGGATTGTACACTTGCGCTGGAACAGCTAAGACAGTATGTGGAGAGATGTCTTCATTACTGTGCAGAAGTGAAGTGACTATGATAATTGTTATATTACAGATTGAGGGAAGCTCGTCCCTTATCCCCTAGCTTGTTTCCCTGTAGACCAATCACGTTACCAGTATGCAGCTCACCAAAGTGTGCAACCAACTGAGCAGCCATGCCATTTATCCTATATCAACAACCCATCTCTCATACTGCACACATTCCTACTTGTAATGTCGTTATGTAGAGACTGGATCTCCTTCATGTGCCATGATGCCATGCTGCCATAATAACTACCTATGCACCAGCTACTAGATCTACCATACTACATAGCTGAGCATAACACTACCGGACCCAGTGAAAAAATTTGCCCACCTTTTTGCAGACTATAATGGAGCAAACGACTTGCCACAGCTGCGGAACAACTTAGATCATGCTATAAATCTACGCTACGAAAATGGAAAGGCTCTACAGCCTCCATGGGGACCTTTGTACAGTATGTCGAGAGAAGAGCTCCTTGTCGTGCGGAAAACATTGACAGAACTACTCGCCAAGGGTTGGATTAGACCCAGCAGTTCGGCAGCCGCATCACCAGTACTTTTTGCAAAGAAGCCAAATGGGGGTTTACGGTTTTGTGTGGATTATTGTGGACTTAACGCTATTACAGTACCGGATCGCTACCTACTTCCCCTGTTTAAAGAAACCCTGCGACAGTAATCAAAGGCTCGTTATTTTACAAAGCTAGATGTTAAATCGGCTTTCCATCGCGTGAGAGTTCGTGAAGGGGATGAATGGATGACAGCATTTTGCTGCCGACTAGGGTTATTAAAATGGTTGGTTAGGCCTTTTGGTCTGATTAACGCACCGGCCTCTTTTCAAAGATATATAAACAAACATCTACGAGAGCATCTTGATCTAGATGCGACGGATTATGTTGATGATATCTTAGCTTACACAGACGGTAGTGAGGAAGGATACTGGGAGACAGTTCGTAGTATACTTCGAAAACTTGAAAATGCTGGACTTTTTCTCGACATTGACATGTGTGAATTTCTACAAAAACAGGTCAAATATCTTGGTTTTATTGTGAAGGCGGGTGAGGGTGTGGCTGTTGATCCTACAAAAGTCAAGTCTATCCTAGAATGGAATGCACCAACAACTGTGAAAGGCGTGAGGTCATTTCTTGGCTTCGCTAATTTCTACTGCTGCTTTGTTGAAGGATTTTCAGATATTGCCACGCCCTTGACTAATTTGACGAAAAAATTATGTTGGATGGAAATGGGAACGTGAAGAAAACGAAGCGTTTGAAAAGCTAAAGAAAGTTTTTGCGTCAGAACCTGTTTTAGCTCAATGGAACCCAGATTGTGAAACAATTGTAGAAGCTGATAGTTCGGGCTACGCAATAGGTGGTTGTCTTTCGCAAACTGACGACCAAGGACGCACAAGGCCGGTGGCCTATTTTTCGAAGAGGTCAACAAGCGTAGAGGCAAATTATCCAATTCTCAAGGAGCCGTGTTATTAGTATTCCGTAGGGTACGAGTTTGGTACAAGTAGGTTACAGGTGTGGAGTATGGTGGTGATTCCTAAGAGTAGGAGGTATAAATTCAGCGTTAGGTATAGGGTTCACAGAAAAAGTAAAGATAAAATAAGTAGTAGGTGAGAAGGGTACAATAACGGCGGTCTTCTTTAGAGAAGAGATAAGTAAGTGAACAATAGGTA